GATTTGAGAGTAATCACAGTGTGCTTTTGTATTTTTTATAGCACAGATTTCCTTTATGTGAACTTGGACACACCTACTCTGTCCTTCTAATTTCTTTCCTCTCTTCTGTGGAAATGCTTATTAAAATTTCCTGCAGATCAGCTATGGAAAAAGCAGTAAAGATCACCATCACTGCAGAGGGTGCCTATTGACCTGCTTTTGGGTGCTGGTTCTCTCATCCAGCCAGCAAATTCCTGGGTATCCCTGAGCTTTTAGCTTCTAAACCCCTTAAAAGATTGTTGACCCACAAGTAAAACACCTGCTGTTAAATCATTTCTAAAGTAAATTTCAGGGGCTTACTTATTATATGAAGAATTGCAGTTTTGCAAGATGGAAAACATTCTGTGCACAGATGCCTGCAGCAATGTGAATGAACAGAATGCTATGGAGCTACACAAATAAGTGGATTAAAATATAGAACATTAGGTTATATGTACTTTGCCATGTTTATTAAAATACAGGACTGTGTTTATGCACAAACTTGTATTTAAGTCTTGAAAAATGATTGCTGACTTGGAGGATATATTTTAGATGTGCAAGCTCACATTATTTTCCCTTTCATATTAGTATTACTGTGCATATGTTTATATTTGTATGTGTTATTGTGTGTTTATATATGTGTAAACACACAGGTGTTTGTGCATCGAGATGCTGCCGTAGGTTGATGTTGGAGGTCTTCCTTGCCTTGACCACTCTCTTCTGTAGTTTTTGAAGCAGTGTCTCTCACTGGGCCTGGAGTTTATTGATTTGACTAGGCTGACTGCCTGATGAACTCTGTCTCCCAGACCCCTATAATTAGAGTCACAGGTATATGCAGTTGTGCCCTACTTTTACATGAATAATGGGGACCCTAACTTTGGTATTCATGATTATAGTGAGTACATTGCTAACTGAGCTATCTCTGCAGCCCCCTTTATTAAAAATCATTATATAGATTTTTAAATAGACATTTTATCTCCATTGTGTAAAAATGCTATACTAAGGCACACACAAAATTATTTTGCTAGTTTTGATATTACATGCATGTTTTTTATGTTTAAATATATATTTTTTAAATATAAAAAAATATCCTGCAGAACAGATTTTGAAGTGTCTCTCCCACACACTGCCCGTATATGCAGATCCACAAAGTGTCATTGAAATTTGTTGCAGTGTTGCTTTCAATGATCAGCAGTTAACCAAACATGTTAAGTTATCTCCAGGGGATCAGAGGAACAGGTTGAGGTGATAACAGAGAGTAGGATAACAGGAGACAGATATTTTTGTTTGTTTTGCATTTTTGTTTTGTTGTACTGTTTCTATATGTTTTTCTTTAGTCTAAACTCCTTTTGTGACCTTAAGAATAAAAAGCAAAAAGAAAAAAAAATCTTCCTTGTAAAAGATTACTTACTTAAAACTTTTGTGAGTACTAGCTTCTTCTGTCATCTATAAACTCACTTTGTTTAGAAAATACCAAGATTTGTAAATGACCATTTCCAAAATCAGTTGGTGAAATGCAGTAAAGGAGATCTAGTTGATAAAATTCCTATCTCACACTGTGCTCCCTGGTGTCATATACATGCTTCATAGCTGCTGCCAGTGCACTGCTCTTCCCTGCTTGGATGTTCATCATGGGTATAGGGAAGCGGTTGTATCTTACTGTGTCTGTGTCTTCCCACCTCCTTCAGTATAGACACAGAGGAGACACACATACACAGCTGTTCCCAAAGACTATGTTAATACTGGTTACTGTCAGATCATTTGGGGATTTCTCTTTGTTCTTATATAACTTACTGTATTTGTTCTTTGACAGAGTTCATACATATATAATATGAGTACATCCTCTAACCTTTCTAGATCCCCTTATAAGCACTTCACCCCTCTTTTCAAGTCCCTTTCTGCCATTCAAATTTTGTTTTGTGACTCAGAGTTTAACTGAGGTCAGTTATGTTCTCATGGGTGTATTAGTCAGGGTTCCCTAGAGTAACAGAACTTACAGAATATATACAACACACACACACACACACACACACACACACACACACGGTATTTATTTATTTATTAGAATGGCTTACAGGCTGTGGTTCACCTAGTCCAACAATGGTTGTCTACCAATGAAAGGTCCAAGAATTCAGTAGTTGTTCAGTCTAGGAGCTTGAATGTTCTCAGCTGGTCTTCAGTATATGCCAGAATCCCAAAGAAGTGGGCTCTAATACCAGTGAAGGAATAGACTTTCTAATGAGAGAGAGAGAAAAATGAGAATGAATACTTCCTTCTTCCATGCCCCTTATATAGGCTGTCAGCAGAAGGTGACCCAGGTTAAAGGTGAATTTTCCCACCTTAAAAAAATCTAGATTAATTGTGTAACTTCTCATCTCAAAGATCTTAATTAGAATTGAGTCTTCCTACTTCAAATAATTAAGAAAAAAAAATCCTTCACAGGTGTGTCCAACCATTTGAGTTTTAGATGATTTCCGGATGTAGTTAAATTGGCAACCAAGAATAGCCGTCACAATGGGTATGAAGCTTCGTTGTTCACTGAAGCCTGGTAGAACTGAAGATAATGGCTACCCTTCCAGAATCCATCAGTACCCAGTAGTTCAGTTGGGATGGCAGGGCTCCATGAACCTCTCCCTATCCACAATTGAGTATTAAGACCCAGTCTTGTGCAGGCCTATTGCAGTCAGCTGAAGTTTCTGTGATGTCATGATTATATTGCCTGTTGTGCTTACAAGATAGCATCTCAAAGGCCTTCTCCCCATCATTGAGCTATTAACATTCTTTCTGCCTCTTCTTAGATCTTCTCTGAGTCTTGGAGTCCTGTTTGGAGCTGAACATCAACTGTCACTTTTCTCCAGCACACTGATCAGCCATGCATCTCTTTATATAGACAAGTTCATTCATTACATAGAGAAATTTCTCTGTTTTAGGCTGAGAATAGCATTTGCTGGGCCCTGAGCAGCTACTGAAATGAGTGTTAGCTTGTGAGAGAGCAATATGCTTTTTTAAAAATTATTTTATTCTTGAGATTATAATATAATTACATCATTTCTCCCTTACCTTTCCTTTCTCCAAACCCATCTACCCCTCCTTGTTCTTTTTCAAAGTTATAGCCTCTTTTAAATTAATTGTTGTTATATATAATGTGTTTATATTTATATGTACACACATATATGTATGTATGTATTATGTATGTATTTTTCTAAATACAACTTGCTCAGTAATCTTACTCCTATGCATGTTTTCAGAGCTGGTCTTTTGATATCAGGTAACCAAAATAACTTTAAAATATAGCTTAATTTTTAAATTTGTATCTGCCCTATGAAAAGATTTTAAATGATAATCATAAATACTAATTCTACTTCTTTTTTTTTTAAATCCACCAATTCATAGAAACTTCCTATTTTCTTTCACTGCCTACCTGAAATTTCTTAGATCAAAAGTGACCACAGAGTCCATCTCAGATTTCTTCCCTGAGGAGACAGAACAGGGCAGGTCACTACCCCCCCCTTCCCCCCCCCCCTTTCTTTCATTGGCAGATACCAATCTTGTGTGGAATCCCATCCTCACATAAATAAAATATTTATGAGATGAACAAACACTAACTCAGAGCAGTGCAAGAAGTCCCATGACCACTCTGAAGCTGCTGACCTTTCAGACAGATGAGTGTAATGTGTTCTATCTTTTGGTCACAGATTGGGCTCTAATCTTCTAGAACAGATTTCTTAAGGTTCTAGTTAATGCCTCTGATTAGAAAGACAGACTATTACAGCTCAGATCATCTGTGTTTGTCATTGTATGGCAAGGTTGATGGTGGTTCCAGTTGTTAGACTGGGGTGATTGATGGGGTCATTAATCTACTTCCCCCCTCTGAAGGATATCTTCAGTGAGTTTTTAATATTTTACCCTATTGCAGTTGTGCCAGATTCTTCTCATCTTGGCTCCTGCAGTAACAAAAGAGATTCCCTGCCTATGGAGTCCTCTCACAGTATCTCATCCATGTACAAGTATACAATAACCAAATTCATTTAGAGAGTGTATGTTTGTATGCGTGTAAATGTAGGGTGTGTATGTGAGTGCCTGTAGCACGTGTAGAGGCCAGAGGAAGTAATCAGGTGGTCTACTACATCATTCTCTACCTTGTTCCTTTAAGGCTGGGTTTTGGGGTCTCTTATTGAATCTGGAGCTACTGTAGTAGCCAACAAGCCCAGGTATTTCTCCTGACTCCAGCCCCAGACCTGTCTTTGTTCTCCATCATGCTGCAGTTGTAGGCACACCTGTATGCCCATGTCTAGTGCTTTACATGAGTGCTAGGATTCAGGTTCATGTGTGCAATATATTTTCTTACCCACTGAGCTAGTTCTTCAGCCTGATAGTCATGCTTTTAAACTATAAACTTGAATATGATTTTTGACTAAAAACATTTGTGACTTATTTTAGGTAGACACTGAAGAATTGAAGAAAGAAATTGAAGCCCCGTGTGCTGAATCTAGCAGTTAATTTCTTAAAATACAATCTCAACCCAAAAGCCCCTTGCCTTTAACTGCATGTCAGTCTTCTGTTGTTCATCTCTATCTTCTTCCCAGAATGTAGAGCCTTCCCTCATTTTCTTGTAGTAATTGAAGTTCCAGAAGCCTTGTATTATTTGTAGCACTGACTGGACCAACCTCAATGGTATTCTTTCCTGATTGTCTGTCACTTTAAACCAGGCTTAAATATTAAATAACATTTTTTTCTCCAAGTTTTATTATTCTGAAGTGAAATAAATGAAGAGGAATATTGTATATCTCATTTTTTTAAAGTCTCTGAGCAGGGCTTAGGGTTTTATTTTAGATTCTTAAATGACTCATAGTATAACAGATATCAATTTTATAGTGCTTCATATAATTTTTATTACTTTTCAGGTGCAATCATCTAATTAGTTTCTGTAAGCTACCTATCAATTCTTTCTATTTTAACACTTCCATTACATTTGCTTTCAGATAAAGATGAATGTCATGCATCATCCTATATGAAAGTTTTGGAAGTTAGAAGACAGACATAAGAGAAAAGACTAAAGGTGACGACACTTTTGCACTTTGTCTCTCTCAAATTTCGCAGAGTACCTTGTGGTTGTCCTGTATGTGAGATCTGTCTTGGGAAGTGGTAGGTCAATAATTTCTTAAATTCATGATACTTGCACTCTCCTGATGTCTGTAGTGGTTTCTGTTAAGCCGTACTTGCTGCTGCTTCTATGTCTTAAATCTCATGTGTATTAATTTTGTGTTGTGATAAAACATAATAATGAAGACAGCTTGTGTAAGAAAGAGTTAATTTTGTCTTATGGTTCCAGGTGTTTGGAGTCCATAACAGCAAGGTATAAGCAGTAGGCAGGTATGGAAGCTGGAGCAGGAAGTTGAGGGTTTACATCTTGGACCACAAGCATAGAGAAAGGGAGAGTGAAGAGAGAAGGGGGAGAGAATGAGAAGACACTGGGAATGGTAAGGCTTTGAAATCTCAGAGCCTGCTCCTGGTGATGTACATCCTCCAGCAAGGCCACACCTCCTACACCTCCCCAAACAGTACTGGGTCCTACAGGGGGTCCCATTGTTCAAGTACTTGAGTCTTGAGGAAGGGGCCATTCTTATTCAAACTACCATACCCCATAAAACCTCCTTGAAGTTTCAGCTTCCACCTAAAAGCACTGGCTTCTCTCTCCCCCTCCCCCCCACCTCTCTCTCCCTTTGCCTTTCTCTTTCCTCCTCCTTTTCCCTCTCCCTCTCCTCCCTGTGTCTGTCCCTCTCCCTGTCTTTCTCTCTCTCCTGTTCCTTCTCCCCTCTCTCCCTCCCTCTCTCTCCTTCTGCCCCCCCCCCACCTGAATCTCATGTTTGTTTGTATTCCTTTGTTTTACCACATAGCTTTCTTTTGTGAAGTGTCTATCTGCTGTGCCCCACCTAGGTTAAGGTTAAAAATCAAAGATCTTTCCTAATTTTTGTCTCCCACAACATTTAATATAGCCTTTAATAATGTTCATCAATATTCATTTAGCAACCTAAGAGTGTACTTGGATTTCTTCCCATCTTACCCTTTGGTGTTTATTCTCATGGATACTTCTGACCCATGTTCATGGCAGCTAGTTATTCTAGTGACGCTGCCCTAGCTGCTGTCTTAACCTAGGAAAATACTGAACATAGTGCAGTTAACAAGATACAGTCAGTCCCAACCTCAGAAATAATCTTTATCCCAGAATGGATATCTGATGTGTTGTTTGGAATACAGAAGGCATTTTCCACAAAAACAATGTTATAAATACTTAGTGTCTCAGCCAGCACTCGCAGGACTGTTTAACTCATAAGAACCAGTGCTGCTCCCCCTCTAGGCTGCTGCCATCTATTAGGTCGTTTTGTGGAGAAGCTATACCTCTGTGACTGAAGGCTCTCGAGATGGATCATGGACTTTATGGTCTGAGCTGGAGCTCTGGGCTGGCTACTCTCTTTCCAGTGCAACTTGGCTTTGGGGACTGTGCCACCGACATTACCCTATAGGCTCCTAACACTCTAAACCAGTGGTTCTCAACTTGTGGGTCATGATCCCTTGGGGGGTCTCATATCAGATATCCTGCATATCAGATATTTACATTATGATTCATAATAGTAATAAAATTACAGTTATGAGGTAGTAGTGACATAACTTTATGACTGAGGAACTGTATTAAAGGGCCTCGCCATTAGAAAGGTTGAGAACCGTTTCTTTAAACCGAGGGAGAAGCACTCTGGCTCTCTGGTGGATTAGGATAGTCCCTCCCTTTGCTTGGGAGGGCCTTTTTAAGCAGATGTAGAGAGATAGTCTCTTTTACTATCCCTTTCTGCTCATGTACACATAGCATAATACATACATATGCATGCAAAATACATAAACATGGAAATTATTCTATCTATAGAGAAAACATATTAATAGATATTTGACATCACGTCAGGTTTTGTGAACAAGTGATTATCATTTCTACATGGGTATAATGATGCTTCTAGTGAAAAACATGTCACTGTGTGCATAAACAACCCTCAAGGTTGACAGCTTAGGTTGTCAGACTGTAAGAAAAATCACTTCATAAATTTAAGAGAATTTAATTTATTCAGTGATCATTAAGTGTTGCACCCATGAGTACCTGATTTACGCCTAATACTGTTATTGAAGCTAGAGGCTAGGGGGTGTGAATTAAAGATGCTAGAGAAAGTTTACTTTCCCCTAGGGACCTGAAATACAGGGATTAAGGTGTTAAAGAAACATCCTCAGTGAAAGTATCATTGCCATACAATAATTTACAGAGGAAATTAATGGTGGGTTTAGGATGCTCAGAATGGCATATTCTAAAGATAGTGGTAGAGGTTCACTGGGTTTCAGAAGAATGGAGGAGCTGCAACTAGAGTTAGGAAAGAAATGATAGTCTAGGAGATAGTCTGCCTGAATAGAGGGCTATAGGCAGGCAAGCTTTCACCTCTGTCTAGAACAGAATAGTTAGGTTATGCTGGGTACAACAATAGGTGGGAAATTAGTTAAGTGTTTCAGTCTTGGAAGTTCAGAAGTGTCACCCAGATTTCCTAAAACAGCAATTCTCAGAATCTTATCTCAGAACTGTTACATAGTTTCTAGGGCATGGACTATCAACATATTTCTCTTTTAAAGCTTCCCCACTGGTTTTGATACTCAGCTAAGGTTGAAAACTCCTGAATTTGAAGTATTGGCCAAACTTAGGAGAGTCAAGAATGCCCTGCCAAGGAGATATGTCTCTCTCCCTCTGGCAGTGGGGAGCCAGGCCTCAGGGGTTTCTGTAATTGGTGGCATGATCAAATTGGAGTTTGCTAAAATAAACTGATTTTTCAAGTACATTTGAATGAAAGAAAAGTAAGAAACAGCTTGACTTAGAGTTTGTGGTAGTATGAGAAATGGAGAGGAGTCATATTTTAAAAGTGTATTTGGGTATGTGGGAGTTGGTGATTATTAGCCTTGACCCCAGTATAATTTGTATCATAAACTGATTTTACAACTTCATCCTCATTAATTTGATCTCTTTTCTCTTACAGCCTGGCAACTTCAGCAGTAATTTCAGCCAGTTTGCATTTACTGGAAGAAGTCCATTGTCTGTTCATGTACATGTCTAACTCATAATAGTAAGTGAGGTTATGTGTATGAGAAATATGACCTTTAACATAATCATTATGAAGCATTTGATAACTTCCCACATATGCAGTAATACAGCCTCAGTGCTGCAGGGTCATTCCAGGACTCAGAATCATGTGTATAAGGTAGTTAGTTGTTGGCATTACTGTTCTCCAGTGTTAAGTTGAAATTTGAAGCAATATTCTAAGTCATGTTGTGCATTTTAATGTTTTTGGTTAGTTAAATTGGGCAATCACTTACTTTCCTGGTAACAGATCTCTCTTTGCTTCCCAGTTTTAGCTGTCATATGATTTTCTCTCCACACATATCTGACTAGTACATCCCTTTGCTACAAACTTTCCAAAATTAGTGTTGGTTAATAATTGCATGTTCTCTGCATTAGTGAACCAGAATGAATTGCTCTGCTTTTGCCTTCTTCCTGGTCAGAGTATATCTTGGCAGTTCACTGAGTATTTCCTGTCATGTGTCAGAAGCAGCCATTAGCACCTATGCTGCATCAAATAGGTCTGAACTCTGGTACATGTTCATTGCCAATGAGGATAGTGAGGCATTAATAGCAGTATAATGTACTGGACTAGAGTTAATGTCATCAGTCTCTGAACTATTGTGCCTGTAATTTGAAGATTTAGAACAAAGTCACCTTTTTGTAAATATTTTCACAAAATTGCTTTCAAAAATGTTTTCAAGTTTCTGGGAAACTTTAGTGGTTTACAGGATAGAACACGCTGAAAGGTAGTTACTACAACTCTAACCCTTTTTGTGTTCCCTTCATGTATATATGAATGAGGTGAGAAATTTGGGGCACCCTTTAAATTTTAAGGGCAGTGTTAGGACTCTAGTAGTGGTGATCCTGAGACATACCAGGGTCATATGGAAATTTACATAAAACTTTTACCTGATTAAGATTCAGTCTCCATTGGGTTACTGCCTGGCAAAGTAAAGGAGTAGAGCTATTTAGACCTCAGTCTTGAGTTCCTGAGTGATCTACCATACTAATCCATGGCAAAGAACACTCCCTGGTCCTGAGATGCTAATTCCATCCTGGCTCCTAATGCTAGCACTGCTTTGTGAGGTGTTGGGTTTTTCCGCCTGCCGCCACTGGTCTTGTCCCACCACCGCGCCAGCCCCAAATAATGCACACCGAGACTCTGTATTTGATATAATCTGTTGGCCCATTACTAGTTGCTTATCGGCTAGCTCTGTCTTAATTATTAACCCATTTCTATGTGTTTCCACGTGGTCTTACCGAGAGCGGAGGAATGGCGGTTCTGTTCTCTCTAGACTCTCCATCTTGACTCCTCCTTACTCCTTCCTCTTTCCTTCTTGTCTCCTAGTCCCTCCTATCTTCCTTTCCTATTGGCCAACAGTGCTTTATTCATTAACTAGTATAAGAAACAAATATACATAATGGCATCTCCCATCACTGCTTTTTGGGTCAAGTGGGCCAGACCAGTTGACATGCAAGGGAGGAATAGATTTAGGAAGCAAACAAAACATGTAAGGCAGAGACTCACAGGTATGACACCTAGAGCCAGATTTGGTCCATAAATGTATTGTATTTGACCTACACCCTGGGTTTTGTTTTTGTTTTGTTTTCAAAACATCAGTTAGTTATTAAGTAGTGTTATTTTAACTGTTAACTAATTTAATGCATAAATCTAGATGGATTCTAATGAAAACTGGAAGATGAGTTCTGCACCTGGTCCTGTTCCCCCATGGACAGCTGTCATATCATCTGCAAATAGTGATACTTTGACTTCTTCCTTTCCAATTTGTACCCCTTTGATCTCCTTTAGTTGTCTTATTACTCTAGCTAGAACTTTGAGTATACATTGAATAGATAGAGAGTGAAGAGCCTTGTCTTATTCGTGATTTTAGTGGAATTGGTTTGAGTTTCTCTGCATTTAAGATGATGTTGGCTGTAGGCTACTGTGAATTGCCTTTATTATGTTTAGGTATGTCCCTTGTATTGCTGTCTCTCCAAGACTTTATCATGAAGGGGTATTGTATTTTGTCAAAGGCTTTGTCAGAATCTAAAGAGATGATCATGTGCTTTTTTTCTTTCAGTTTGTTTATATGGTGGATTACATTGACAGTTTTCCATATGTTGAACCATCCCTGCATCTCTGGGATGAAGCCTGCTTGATCATAATGGACTATCTTTTTGATGTGTTCTTGGATTCAGTTTGTGAGTATTTTATTGATCAATTTTGCATTGATGTCCATGAGGGAAATTGATCTGTAATTCTCTTTCTTTATTGAATCTTTTGTAGTCTGGGTTTCAGGGTGACTGTGGCCTCAAAATGAATTTGTTTCTTCTGTTTCTATTGTGTGGAATAATTTGAGGAGCATTGGCATTAGCTCTTCTTTGAATTCTGTTGGAATTCTGCATTAAAACTATTTGGTCCTGGGCTTTTTTTTTTTTTTTTTTTTTGGTTGGGAGACTTTAAATGACTACTTCAGAGCTAGGACTACTTAAATTGTTTATCTGATCATGATTTAATGTTGGTAAGTGGTATCTATTGAGAAAATAGTTCATTTCTTTTAAATTTTCCAATTTTGTGCAATACAGGTTTTTTAAAGTATGACCTAATGATTCTTTTGATTTCCTTGGTGTGGTGTCTGTTATGTACCTCCCTTTTGTTTCTGATTTTTGTTAATTTGGATATTCTTTCTTTATCTTTTAGTTTGTTTATCCTGTTGATTTTCTTAAAGAACCAACTCTGTTTCATTGATACTTTCTAATGTTCTTTTTGTTTCCATTTTATTGATTTCAGCCTTCAGTTTATTTCCTGCTGTCTATTCCTCTTAGGTATGTTTGCTTCTTCTTGTTCTAGAGCTTTCGGGTATGCTGTTAAGTTACTAGTATAAGATCTCTCCATTTTCTTTATGTCGACACTTAGTGCTATGACTTTTCCTCTGGGCACCACTTTCATTTGTGTCCCATAAGTTTGAGTGTGTTGTGCATTCATTTACATTGAAGTTTAGGAAGTCTTTAATTTATTTATTTATTTTGGCCTTAACCCAGTAGTCATTCAATAGAGAGCTGTTAAGTTTCAATGAATTTATAGGCCTTCTGTTGTTGATTTCTAGCTTTAATCCATGATGGCCTGATAGAGTACAGTTGGGTATTTCAACTTTCTTTTATCTGTTGAGCCTTGCTTTATGACTAAGTACATGGTAATTTTTGGAAAATGTTCCATGAGGTGCTGAGAAGAAGATATATATTGTGTTTGGGTGAAATATTCTATAGATACCTGTGTTAGGCCCATTTGGTTTATAACATCTGTTAGTTCTAGTATTTCTCTATTTAGTTTTTGTCTGAATGATGTGTCCTTGGTGAGAGTGGGGTATTGAAGTCTTCCACTATCTATATGTGAGGGTTATTGTATGATTTAAGTTTTATTAATATTTCTTTTACAAATATAGGTGCCCTTGTGTTTGGGGCATTGATGTTATGAATTGAATGTCATCTTGGTTTATTTTTCCATTGATGAATATGAAGTGTCTTTTCCCATTTCTTTTGATTAATTTTGCTTGAAGTCTATTTTGTTAGATATTAGAATAACTATACCAGCTTGCTTCTTGGGGCCATTTGCTTGAAAAATCTTTTCCTTCATTCTGAGGTAATATATATTTTTGATGTTGAGGTGTGTTTCTTCTATGCAGCAGAAGGATGGATCCTGTTTTCACATCCATTCTGTTAGCCCACATCTTGTGTGTGTGTGTGGGGGGGGGGTGTTGAAGCCATTGATATTGAGAGATATTAATAACCGGTGACTGTTGGTGGTGGTGGTGGTGGTAGTGTGTGTTTGTGTTTCCCTTCTTTTGTTTAGCTGGTATGAGGTTATTTATTTTGTGTATTTTTATGGGTGTAGTTAAACTCCTTAGATTGGAGTTTTCCTTTTAGTACCGTCTATAGGGTTGAATTTGTGAAGTCATTTTTAAAAGTTGACTTTATTATGGAGTATCTTGTTTTCTCCATCTATGGTGATTGACTGTTTTGCTGGGTATGGTAGTATGGGTTGGCATCTGTTGGCTCTTAGTGTCTGGAACATCCATCCAGGCCCTTGTGGGTTTTTAGAATCTCTGTTGAGAAGTAGGGTGTAATTCTAATAGGTCTGTCTTTATGTTACTTGACCTTTTTCCCTTGCAGCTTTTAAAATTCTTTCCTTTTTTTCTGTATGTTTACTGTTGTGATTATTATGTGGTGAGAGGAGTTTCTTTCCTGGTTCAATCTATTTAGTGTTCTGTAAGCTTCTTGTACCTTTATAGGCATGTCCTTCTTTAGGTTGGGAAAATTTTCTTTTATGATTTTGTTGAAAATGTTTTCTGTGCCTTTGAACTGGGATTCTTCTCCTTCTTCTATTCCTATTATTTTTAGCTTTGATCTTTTTATAGTTTCCCAGTTTTCCTGGGTGTTTTCTGTGAGAAATGTTTTAGATTTAACATTTACTTTGAATGATATATTTATTTCGTCTCTCATTCTTCAACACCTGAGATTCTTCTATTTTTTTTTTTTATTCTGTTGGTGATGCTTATATCATTTACCTAGGTTTTTCATTTTCTGAATTCCCTCAGTTTGTGTTTTCTTTATTGCTTCTATTTCCATTTTCAGGTCTTAAACAGTTTTATTTATCTCTTGCTACTGTCTACTTTTTGTTTTTGTTTTGTTTTCTGTTTTTTTCTTGGCTTTATTTAAGGGATTTATTCCTTTTCTCCAATTGTTTGTTTGTCTCTTTCAGGCTTTCTTTTGAGAGATTTATTCATTTCTTCTTTAAGGACCTCTATCTTGATAAACTTGGTTGTAAGGTTGTTCCCTTGTGCCTCAGCTGTGTTGGAATATTTAGGGATTGCTGCAGTAGGATAGCTGGGTTCTTTCCTGAAGTATTCCTCTGCCTATTGTTGATTATGTTCTTACACTGGGTTTGGGGTGATTATAGATCTAGGTGCCAATCTGAATTTGTCTTTGTTGGATGGTTATTTTGCTCCTTGGTTTCTGTTTCCTCTTTGGTCTTCTGGCCCTTGTGGCATGGATTTCTGGCAGCTTGCATGGTCTCTGGTTCATCAGACCATCTGTGTTAGAATTGGAGGCTGAACTTCTGGTGGCTAGTATGGCCTTTGGTTCAGCAGGGTCCTCTGCCCATGGGGGCAGGATACTGTGATGAGGAGGGAAGTGGAGATTGGGGATAATTGGGGGGCAGGGGCACTGAGAGAGTGGAGGAGGTTGTTCATTGTGTTCTCTGGTCCAGCAGGGAGTTTCTACCTGAGTTTGCCTATCTGTTTTTCTGGCTGGTGTGATCTGTTTTTCTGACTGATGTGGCCTGCACCTGTTCCTCTAACTGGTGCAGTCTGCAGCTGTTCTGACCTGCACCTGGGCAGTGAATATCCACCCAAGGTGGGGGACTGGGGCATGTCTTGAGGATCTGAACTGAGGGCATGAGAGGTTTCTGAGGGCAGATGCAAGAGTTACATTTGTTGCTATACTGTGATGAGTCAAAACACAATTCAGAAAAGCAATGTCAGATTGCTCACATGATTTCTTACCAATGTTTTTGTTTGTTTTAAGTGCCCAGTTGGGTTTTCTGGGAACTCAAATCAAGTAGTTGCTGTACTGTGGTTCCCATGTTTTATATGTTTATTTTGTAGAGTTCTTTGGCTCTGTGATATCAGTGATTTTAAATTAGAATTCAAGAACTAAAAGGTATCATTCTTACACATTTTACAATGAAGGAGCTGAAGTCCCAAGAAGCCTTGATTTATCTGTTTTGTTCTCACTGATGGGAGTTGGAAGAGGTGCAGGGCTTCCTGACTGCCAACTTAGTGATCTTTACAGTAGACTCTTCAGGTTTATTTTCTCCAACATGATTTTATGTGTAGGATCCATAATTCATTGCATTGGGGCCAGTTGTCAAATTACAAGTTTGTATTTAATCTCCTGGAGCTGAGCGGCTTGTGAGATTAAAACCAGATAATGCATAGAATATGGGTGGCAAGAAGCATGATGAAATATCCTTGATCAGGGTCCAGTTCTGTCTTGTAAGAGGAACTATATTGTTTGCTTGCTGTTTTCTGGGACTAATTCTGACTTCTGGAAGGTTCTTCCTGCCCATTATTTCATAAGACCTTGCTCATGCAGACAGACAGTAGGGGATCTGTGCTTCATTGGGCTTGAGCTTTGTTTTCAAAAGATTTTAGCAGCATCTTTTCACAGTGTTACCATTTATTAACTGGGAAGCAGGGTCTTAAAACATGTTCTGTGACTGCACATCACAGCTGCCTTTCTTTCTGTCTTCATTCTGATTATCTCTGGCTACTTCAGTAGTTGCCATTCATTTGCTTATATCAGCAACTCTGGGAAGATATTGTGGCTTTATTTTGGGGTTTTGGTATTAATTACTGCTATGATAAATAGCCTCCAAAATTCACAAGAGTTAAATCCAATTCAGGTTTACTGCATTCATTTATTATTAGTAAAACTGTATTAGAACCAGGCTTGGTTAATGGGTGACTTTGAACAACAGGCCTTTGAGTGCTCTAGCACCCAAAGAAAATCAAGAAACACCTGAAGCTTGGGAGTTGACTCCAGTCACTTAACTGAATGTTTTGGGGGAAGAACTATTCACAAGGCTACATTTGGTGCTGAGAAGAGGGTTTTTAATGTGACTCTTTAGTTGGACGTTTCTAGTGACAGCTTTTCCAACATGCCAGGAGAAAATGAGGTATGGATGGGTTATTACAATAGTTTTTTTCTGCTTTAATAACAGTATCATATTGTACTCCTTGTCTTGGGTTACTTCTTTCCTCTTGTGTTATATATTCTTCTGTGCTTCCTAGATTAACATTTCAGCATTGAAAACTAAAACAAAATGGTATCACTGTCCCTGTGGTAGAAATAGACAAATCCAAAGGACCTTATTTGCCCATAATCCTGATGAAATTAAAATGAGTTGTGGGCATAAATAGATAAAGAAAATGTGTCAGATACCACCATTTTTATTCAGTCCTGTACAAAAGGGTCTGTCAGAAACGAGTCAGGTTGAGGGGAGGAGACTACAAGAAAAGATGTGGAAATGAGAAGAAAATAAAATACTGTTGTGAGCATATGGTATAAATTGTCTATGATGAAATACAACAAACTACAGAAATTAAAAAAAACAAAACAAAACAAAAACCTTTCAGAATTTC